CGATTCGGCTCATCCATACAATGAGTATCACCCGGTGGTGGTACTGGTCTCCGTCATGGGATTGAGGAATTTCCAAAACTGTCTCAGGGCCACAATAGATCATGTGTGCAGCCCCCCCCCCCCCCCCCCCATAGCTGAATCTGTGTTCATGGCCATTGGGAGGTCAGCTTGATGCCCAGTGTAAAGGCAGCACGCTCGATTCTCGGCGTACAAATCCTGCAGCGCATTAATTTCAACTAGAGTGCATGGCCAAGATGCGGGTTCAAACCAGCAAACCTCGTAGTGAGCACTGGGCACGGTGCCAACTGAGCAAGGCCTGCAGTGTGCTGATGCGTCGCAGACAAGCTCGTAGACAACGAGAGTGCAAAATGTGTGCACTCTTTCACGCTATTGATTGTTTCTCCCGCAGATTAATAGGGGGGGGGGGGGTGGGGGAACGCGCGGGGAGAGCACCTTGTTTGGCGCTGCTTTTGTATTGCAATTAAACGGGGCTATTAAGGCAAACAAGCAAAGCATTTACATTGCTGCCTTGAGTGATTGGGAACGAATAATTCATAAGGACAAGCCTCGGTTCGTGAAGTGTCAGGAGCGTGCAAAAGAACAACGTGCATCAACGATTGCGCTGCGTGGCATTGCGTGCGGAGCGGACTCCCGAGTGCACTTGGCAGCGTGGTATCGAGTGGAATAAACAAAACATCACTGACACGGCCAATCTGTACACGGACAACTGCAATACACATTGTGGAGTGCAGGCAGAGTTAATCGACAACGTCTCTTCTATGGATCGACTGGCTTCCACCATTGGAATATTGAATGCTCGCCATTGGCTCGGAAACTGCCAGCAGTATTAAGCACAGCCCAATTCTCGAGTAAGATTGGGACACTGACTTGTATCTTTCTTTAAATATACCTTTTTTAGCACTGAAGGCAAACGTAGATTAATATGCTTGCGTTTAGGAACTCTCCGTAGGGTTGCTGCTGATTCATAAAAAAATGTGTATTCGATGATCGCAAGCCTGTTGTGTGTGCGTGTAGAGAAAAACGCGTCTTTGGCTGACGAGGGTTTGTAATGCCAAGTTGATTCGGCCTCGCTCGCGATGGACCAATTTTGCCGTGCCAAACGCCCACAAGATGCCAACGACGTTGCGCACTCGAGAATAAGGCCACCAGCGACCCAAGCCATGCATCGGTTGCCGACCTGGAGACAAGATCAGAGAATGTATCGCCCGCTGTGCAGCGCATGCTACCAGTTGTCAGTTGTGGCTTCCTAATATTGGAAGGAAGAACGTTCCAGACAACCGCAGAAACGCATCTGAACGCGTGCGATGCAGTGGCCATGTTTGTTCGATGGTTAGCCACAAAAAGCAGTTCTAAGGAAATGAGTTTTCAATCTCGAATAGATAGCCACACGATCTTCCACATCTTTCGGACCAATCGCTGTTGTGAACATGTCATGTTGTTTTCACGTTCCTGACGTGTGCAGTACCAGTGCCTTTGGCTTCCGAGTTTCAGCGTTTTCGTGTGTGGGCTTTCTTGGCGGAACTCGCAGATGTGAAAAGAAAAAAACACAAGGGAATTGGTCTAACGTTTAAAGCAGAACTCTCCAGGAAAATAAGTCTTGAATGCTCATTGAGGGGTTCCTTCGGTAAAACGAGTTTGAATTATTGTATATTAGAAGTGAGTGTGAGGGATACTGCCGCAGTGTCACGGAATTTCAACCCAGGGGTCACCGGTTCGATCTCCCAGTGCAGCAGCTGAGACGATGGGGCGAGCGGGACGTAGTGAGTTGATGGAGAGGTTTGCGTATCGTGGGGTAAAGCGTGAGTACTCCGACCTTCCAAGTTGTCTCGGCCAGCGCATGGAAGTGGTTCGCTGTGGAGCTCCGCCATGGTAGAGGCCCTTCTGCCAGCAGTGGAGTGATCGAGGCATTGCAGGGCTGCACTCTCGTATATATCGACCCGTTCTACGGGATGAAAAATCCAATTCTTCATACGTTGGCCACCGACACACTCCGTCCTTTTTACAGGGTCTAAAGACCCAGTTTGCTGCACTCAAGTTAATGATGTAGGTAACTCAAGTGTCACGTAAAATTCCTTGGAGGTGGTCTCGCCACCAATTTACGTTAATTTATGTTTTAGTCGCACAAATCACCATCAAACTTTGGGTGGCAGGATAAGCCAAAGCAGATGTGATGTTTGCACGTAAATAATGAATGTCATTGACTTAAATTCGTTATTTAAGGCTCTGAAAGTTACCCTTTTGTGCTCCGTGGACATTGTGCGCGTGCCAAACGATTTGCCGGCATCTGTCTGTGAGCTAATTGCCTCGCAGCAAAAGCGATGAATCCAGGGCATTCCATGCACAGCATCTCAGGCGCCACGGCACGCGGACTGACCGTGAGCGTAACCAGAGCCTTCGTTGTTGGATTGTTCCGTTTCGTGTTGTGTGTGTAGCAATGGTGGGTGTGTTTTAAAAAAAAAAACATCCGCAATCATCGGCAAAAATAGTTTCAACACTACGCATTGCGTATCAAATAACAATAACAATAAAATAAAAATGAAGCCCCGTACCGCAGGCGACAGTGTGCGCCGTATCGGTCGTGGGAGTTGTTTGACCACCGCGGTCGCTACGAGTGGGCAACGGGGCGCCCAGGACCAGGTTCAGGAGTGCAACTACCGTGGGGGGCGGGGGGGGGGGGGTATGTGGCACCGGTACGTGTCGCATAGGGGCCCAGTCGGCCACAAGGTGGGCCGCCACCGAATCAACAGATATACAAGTAACAAAAATGTTAAGAAATTTTATTTTTAAAAAAATGACAACTAATATACAGTATATCATTATACATCATAGAGGTTTTTGGTTCGGATCGCTTAAATATGAATGTCTGTTAAACTCGCCACCACCAGACACAGCCAAGGTTTGTCACGTAAAATAAACATGCCAATTCGTTACTAGTTCAGCACACCGGTGTGTGTTGGAGAGTAAACCCAGAACATTTACAATAAAAAACCGTGACGTTTTGCCAGAGTTGTGGATAAATCCTCCTGTTTCAACGTGTGAAACTGATATATCGTTATAGTCTACATATTATTGTATACGGGTTAAAACATCTGTAGCTATTTCAATAAAAGTTAGTCGGGAGAAGGGAGTGGGGGGGTGCCCACAGTCGTATCTTACATAGCCCCCCCCCCCCCCCCCCCCCGTTTAAATAAAGCGTTGCTCCGCTATCACTCGCCACTGATGTTGGCCGTGGCTGAGAATCGCAACTCGTGTTGCCGTGTTCGTGGCACAGGGACAGTGGTGCAGTCCACCACAGCGCTGCTTCTTCGCCTGTGCTTGTCGATGTTTGCGTTTTATTGAGTTGGCGGGTACTGAATTTGCCTCAGAATTGTTAATTCATGCTTATTACTAAATAATATTCGTTTTCAAATGACTAATTATAAATGTATTGCGTGCTTAAAATGAGTTATTTGTATAAAGCTGTGTGCTGTTCCTAGGGAGGCCGTGATTGCTTAATCGAGTGGCTTTAATGAGTGTAGCCTCATTTTGCCTCGAGTAGATCATTTATAGAGAGGGCCCCATTTTGTATTTATTCAGTCTGTACAATCTCACCGAAGTTAATTTGGCCTCGTTGGCTAAGGCTGTAAAAAATGGATCGATTCTTCAAACAACATCGTTGCTAATGCTCACGGAAGGTACATTTCGTCTTGCGAGTCTGATGTAAGTAATGGGTTAACTTGACCCCTGCAGCCATTAGTGGCCGCTACAGCCCTGTCGTCAGTGGCAAAACCCGGCCCTGGACCATCACGGGGTGTGGTGGCGCACCTATGTAGAGCCTTGGAGGTGGGGTTGTTGGGTCACGCAGAGATCATTTTGTACCCTGAGATTCCTTACATGCAGTATTTGACATACCCTTTATAGAGCTTTACGTATATTATATAGAGCTTTACGTATATATGTATGTTGAACTTCTTTCACACCGTACGTAGCCAACCATGTGAATCGGAGGTGTGGCGGGGGAAGGACAACAAACTAAACACAAAAAGCAGTTCTAAAGAAATTAGTTTTCAATCTGCATTTAAAAGTGAATAGCTCCAGTGGCTTCCTAATCTCGGAAGGAAGAGCGTTCCAGACGACCACAGAAGCGCATCTGAACGCATGCGATGCAGTGACCATCTTTCTCTCGATCGCCAGCCAAAAGCTGCTGTGAGGATGACCTGAGTTCGCGTGATGGTTTATGCTCCTTAACGAGATCAGCGAGGTATTGTGGTTCATTTGCAGCAAGCACTCTGTGTGTAATGAGTGCGAGATAATGTGTTCGTTCGGCAACCGAAAGCCAATGTACCTCGTCAAGCACTGGACGGACATGGTCAGATCTTGCCGTACCCGTCATGACACGTGCCAGAGAATTTTGTACACATTGCAGCTTGCCAGCCATGCCTTAACAAAATATACTCGTTCTCAGGATGGACTGTTATGTTTATTCACTCCATTTGTTTTCATCGCGTAGCATTCATATCGATTATTTGTAAAGGTTTGACTTGTATGTCATTCATACCTGGAAGCCTGTGCCGTGGAGGCACTTGCATTGGTTGATTTTGCTCGGATCGAAATCCCAAACCCACTGGGCTGCAAAGTGGCCAACAGATGGCAGTAGAGAAAGTGGGTTGCCGTTATATCATCTATACGGGTTTTGTTTGACGTTATCTCTGTGCGTGTAGAATTCCTCCAGAGACACTCGCTACCTCCTTCATGCAAAACGAACCGGTCAAACATCTCAATGCAGGGCTCCTGCCTGAGCTTGGATTTCTTGGATAAGAAAAGGATATTACGAGTGTTTATTGCGGTACCCTAAAGGCCGTGCACCTGGCAATGTCCCTCGCAGCCGTCGCTGGTATGTTCGACGTAATGGTTTACCGTAGAGCCAGATTGACTCTTGCCTGGTTCTAAATGAAGTCCACGAGAAATTCACCGGTGGCGTCCGTTTTTGTGCTTTGCAGCGCCGATTGGAGGATGCAGCCAAAAAGGCCATTGGACAGATCCCGTCGAAGACCATCAAGAGGGGAGATCGGGTAAGCCCGCACTGCGCGTGATATCACAATAGATTTTACCCTTTCGAGCAATAAAACAGGTGTTAAGATACTCTTATGGATTCCTGCAGTCATGAACGCTTCAAATCAAGGTATTAAGATGTCCTTTTTTCAAGGATTCCTGTCTGCATTAACCACACGTACTTGTGGTGAACGTGCAAACATAAACATGCTCTGATAATATATGCATCGTCTTTGAAACTGATTGGTCCACACCAGAGACGGCTTTCTTTTGAGCCTCGTCTCAAAGTGTCAGACCAGAGAAAGCCAAAAGGCGAAAAAAGGCTTCTGTTTGGTGTTTTAACATCTTAACACAGCTGTTTTATTGCTAGAAAGGGTAACACCTACTGTTATATTTTGATACTGTGAAGAAAGGTCCCATTCTGCGTGTGATGTTTGCATCAGGCTTGCGCATTCCGTAGTAAAATATAAAAAAAAGGTCAAAGTGATGTTCCGCACAAATGTCCATTTAAGGTGGATGCTCATCACCGGTTCACAGCCAGTGGTGGAAATTCCCCTTTCCTGTGACGGGAGTGAGTGAGTCCAACCATAGGACAGCCACTGTTGACCTCCCTGTAAACTGGTGCCTGTTTTAAATCACCCCGGAGGGGACGTTGACAGCCGAGTCAACAACCGCCAACCAGGAGTTGAACTCGCAAGCCTTCGACTGCGACGCCGCTCGCTCTGCCGCCGCCAGCAGTCTTCGCATGCGCGCATCGCCGCGCGCCCACCTCATTATCACTTCTTGAAAATATATCGCTCGGACATTTCAGCCTACTGCCGCGCGTGATCGTTTTTTTTTTTTTGCAAACGGCCCTCTGCAGGGACGGTACAGCACATTTTTGATTGATATACCATCTAAATGAGGCCACATCTCAAGGCGCGCTGGCAATGAATTTCCAATAGGTAGCAGTACGTGAGGTAGGCTGATGACTAATCCATATGGATTCTTGAATGTCCGCGTGTTTTTCACAAGGCACTCTGATGTCCTCACCACACGGAAATACTCATTAAGTTAATTGGCCAAACATTCTCTCTTTTAAAAATGAGGAATTTCCACCACTAGCCCAGGTTTGCCAAGGAAAATGGGTGCCCCCCCCCTTTCTCGTTTGAGCATGGAGAAATTTTGGCTTTGAACGACATCATAAGGAAAACACTCCGATGTGCTGTCGGACGTTTCACTCTGTGCTCTGACCGGCTTCCGTTCCTATTCAGAACAACCGTGAAAGCCTGCGCAGTAACATCGCTTGAATGATAAAAACGTGCTTGCTCATACACAGCTTCATCCCGATTGCCTCCCTTAGCCTGTGCAATCAGCACATTCCCTACCCCGTGCTGCCCCACGCTGCTCCACGCTGCCCCACTTTCCCCCGTGCTGCCCCGTGCCGCCCCGTACAACCGTGCGAGCGTCGCTCTCGGCCACCTCTCTGCCGTCTGCAGGAGACTGAGACGGACTTTGACAACTGCGCCGTGTGCATCGAGGAATACAAGCCCAGCGAGGTGGTGCGGATCCTCCCGTGCAAGTACGCAGCACGCACACGCCCGCCCGCCCAGTGCTCCCTGTGTCATTGAGCAGTCAATATATGTCACCCACCGAGATGGCAAGAGGCGCACGAGCCCGGCAGTGTTTCTGATCGTATAACAGCACAAGTGCGTCGATGTCAAGTGTGTTGCCCCGTCGGAAGTTACGGTGCTTCTCTGCGAGTCGAGTCCAAGCACTGGAGCGGGGTCAAGTGTTTTTGTCGGCAAGTCGAGGCTAGTGGTGGAAAGTCCACATTGCTCTGCAGTTGGAGACCCAGCCTCATATGGGACAACCACAAAATGTCATTTTATTGACCCCGGATGGATGATTGGCTGTCGCAGCAGTCCAGCCACATCAACATTTAGCTGGTTAACTTGGAATATGCTGCAGAAAAAACAATCATTTCTGCTCCTCGTAGTTTATGATACTGGGAAGATAGGTTTTAATAATTATCATAATCCTGCACATTTTGTAGCAGATGAGGATTTGAAGTGCTGTACACTGGTAATGATATTCAGACAAAATTAAATGTTGGCTGAGGTAAAAAATAATTAAACCAGCTTAGTTGAATAGTGTACATACTGCTTCATTAAATGTGTACAGTAAGCCAGTGGATTTTTCTTTGAGAGTGACAGGCCCTTAATTAAGCACACTTTTTATTACATGAGGTTAATGATAAAATATATATACTGGAGTTGGTGCACATGTGTGTGTGTGTGGATCTATATCCCCATTATTGTATGAATACATAGTCTCAGGCACCACGCTAGAATCTCAGAAAATCCAGGCTCAGTACTTGGTCATTAACATGCATACGTACAACAACAATGATAATTGCAATGTGGCCTAGACCTCCGTTAGGTTGACTTGGCCTAAATGTAGTACTTGATCCTCATATGGTGTATCAATGGCGAGAAGACAACAATGGTTGGGTGTGGTTTTTTTTTTCCGGCCACACCACCAGTACATGCGCCTTGCCAGCATAACTCACTAACAGCACTTGACCTAACCGTCTTTAAGGTTACACAGGTGAGCTTTGTCTTTGTTTCTTTTGTGTATGTGTGATTCGGAGAGGCTGTGGAGGGGTTGGCACACTGACGTATGATTTTTGGTGACCTAGGTTTGATCCCCGGCCATGTACAATATCAGAGGGAATATAGTATCTGAGCATGCCTCCCGTGTGTCTCCAATAGGCTCGCTCGGTCTTGAACGTGTGTACATGGTCGAGGTATCGGGGTTACGCAGGGGTCAGAGCGCTGAGCTGGCATTGCTGAGACCTGAGTTTTGAATCCAGGCAGCCGCCCGTGATGAAATCGGGTTTTCAAATGGAGTCACTTTATGGTTTTCAGCTCTGTGACCAATAACTGCATGCGAAAAAAACCAAGCGTATACAATTATTTTATACTTTATATGGCAGAATTACAGCTCAAGAATTGAAAATATTGGTTTGACTATCATGTGACAATTTCTTGGCAGAGTGTGTAGAAACATGTGCCCACTGCTCTGTAAAGGATAACAAGGCCACTTAAGGGATTTTTGGTCATTCTGTGCAATACACATTTTTCCCATGACGAATTCTAATACACGTGCTGCTGCTGGAGGTTTCCAATAGGATTCTCCCTCTTGGGACAACGGCAACACGACACAAGTGAATCTGGGGTGGGGGAAAAAAGACGCCGACAAAAAAAATGACACGATGCTGTGCACGAAAATCACCATCGCGTGGACATACGCAGTTACGTGTCTTACTGCCCAGGTCTTCCCCCTTCGTATGCCGTGCCACCCAGCTGTCCCACAGCCAATGCGGCAGCATGGGCAATATCGCAATATGATATGCCGTAGAATTCTCGTTAAGACAATGCAGCACGGGCAAGATTTGCCTTTTTAATTCATACCGAGGTGCGCGCGTGGCTTTTTATACATCTCGGTTAAAACCTGAGCTACTCCAGCCTTGGCGAGAGAATGTGGCATGGCTACATGCTGCTATAAATATGGGCACTACATGCCGTGGTAAAATTAGTTGGCTCTATATTCAGCTGTTAAAGCGTGCGTGGAGAGCCGTGTTGACGACGAGCACTTTACAGTGTCGAAATATCAGTCCCGAGATATGACTGCCCGTTTCAAAGTAGTTTTGCTTGTTCAATGCCACCATCGTCATTAGAGCACACATTACCGTGCGCGAGAGTCTACAGCATTAATAAATATGAGCAGCTGATTCTTATTGCCCAATAATTGGTGCCATAAAGGAAAATACATTGCTACAATAATGTGAGGCAGTCTTACGTCCTAATTACCAGCATTTTTAGATCACTTATATGCTTTATGTACATATTACTGTCATAAAAGGCTTGTTTTGGCCAATAATTATTTTAAATATTTAGGCAGGATTCAAGGTCAGCTTTACTATATGCTGTGGTCCTCACGTTGGAGCTGCCGTGATGAAGATTCATAGCAATAAACACTCGGCAATGAGCATTACTACGACTCGGAGAGCACTTTGTGGTTCTTAGCAATTGGAACGGTGCTGCAAATGCTGTGTTACTGCTTGTGTAGTGGCATGGTTGACCATGATCACCACTTCTCATAGCCGTCAGTACTAGCTCGTGCCAGTAGGGAGCAGCAGAGAGGCCGGACCGGCTTAATATCCCTGGGGGGGAGCATCGTCACCAACGGTCGGGACCCAAGACCCCAGGCAGGGGGTTGGGGGGTGAGGTCATTCTCCAGGCCCTTGGAGAAGGTTCTGGAAGGGAGGCGTGGCCAGGGGCAGAGTGACGCGGGATCCTGTATAAAAGCCAGGTCCCCGAGGGGTCCAGCTCAGTCATCGTCCGGCCGAAGACCGAAGAGCCTCACCGGGAGCCCTGAAGAGAAGAGCCCAATGAGCAGAGCCAAACCTCTGGCTAGGGTCGGCTCAAGCTCATACCAGTGAGAGCTCCAGCTTATAACCAGTGAAGGCTCAATAGAAGTCTCAAGCCCCAGCAGTGTAGGCGTAGTGGGGGTACTCCCTACATAGAGCATCGGGTGGAAGGGGCCGTTACCCCTTGTATTGTAGTTTGTTGGTGTTGTAATAAACGTGTTGCCTCAGAGTAAGCTTCCTCCAGTTTATTAACCACTACAACTGGTGTCAGAAGTAGCCTTATATTAATGACAATGGAAACGCGGAGGAAGATGCGTACCAGGTCTCCGGACGAGGGAGAAGACGACACAGCTGCTTTGCACATGCCATCTCCGGCAGGGGAAGATGAAGTTTAGCCGGCTGAGCTGCTGTCGGCCCGGCCACCCGGCGGGACGTCACCACCAGGGAGAGTGCTGCGCGCAGCGCACTCCCGTCTCGCCGAACTCCTACACGCCGCCGCCTCCATCCTCGACGATATTCACCGCGAGGAGTAGGTGGCAGGGGAGGACGGAGCAGTGCGGCGGCTGACGGCCGTTGCCGCCACCGATTCGGGGGTTCATGGCCGCTTCCTCTCGTACCGCAAAATGGGATGGACGGAGGAGGAGGCGCTGTGGGCACTCTGGGCGACGCCGCACTCGCCGCCCTCATCACGATTCCACGGGAAGAGCGGTCCACGTTGCAGCGGGCGTTACAACACTTGGCCGACATCTACGGGCTGCCGTCGGACGTTCGATACCAATTCGCCTCGCGGAAGAAGGGTGAGTCCGAAACTCCCCTCGCCTTCCGCAGCGCGCTGCTCGCCCTAGCGAAGGCTACCTTTCCTCGAATGGACTTCGAAGGTATCGACGCACTTGTTTTAGAAAAATGCTGGCACTGGCACGGGCTTGCGGGTGGTGATGCACGCCGTCAACGACGGCAACATGTGTTCCCTGCGGGCCGCGAGATACATTCATGCATACCCTCCTTCTTCGTCGGGACACGGGCCTTGCGGCCTGTACCGCGCGGACCGAGTCCTGCTGTCCGTCGGAGGAGCGTCAACCCGCCAGGCCTTCGCGTCCACTCCAGCTGGTGGTTGGAGGGCTGACGACCGCCAGCGCCCACGGGATCTTTGACAGCGGGGATGAGCTTCTCAACGGACGGACGCTGCCCTCGTCGTATGCTACAACTGCGGTCTACGGGGGCCTGTGTCGTCAGGCTGCCAGGCACCTCGACGTCGCGTCCCCGGGCCGCGTTCTCCTGCTCCTCGCTCCCCCTTGGCTCCACGTCGGCCCCAGGCGAGTCGCGGCACCCCACATGCTCGGCCCCCGCACACACCTCGGCACGGCGCGTCGCGGGGTCATGCTGCGTCGGATATCGGGGGTCAGGACTGCCATAATGCCGACTGGGATCTCCGGCCAAGTCAATGGTCGAAGTTAGCCCATAGGGTCATTGCCGCGGCCACGGGTTCTTCAGTAATTATGGGTTCCATTGAAGGAGTCGCATTTTGGATGCTTGTCGACACGGGTGCGTCTGCCACAATAATTTCGGACCTTATAATATTTTTCGGAAAAATGTCGTTTTTTACTCCCCATTGATGTCCCATGTTTTGTCGCTAATGGGGGGGGGTCACTGGGCCGATCTTGGTCTCTACATCCCTCGCTTTTCCGTGCCTGCTGGGTACGGATTTTCTGGGAAAGATGCCCATAAAAATCCTAATTGGCCAGGGATGTATCGAATTCAGGCGCTGGCGTCCCGAACGGTGCGCATCCCACCAGGTGCGGAGATGTTGGTTCCCCTCCGCCTTCGGAAACCTCTCGGTTAGACGACAAGCGGTGTTCTTATAGGCCCTTCAAATACTGCAGTTCGGGGTTTGGAATTGGTCGGTGTGCAGACGCTGGTATCTGGGGATCGACACCCGTTTATCCAAGATTTTCTCATCCACCTTGCTGCGGGACATGTTGGGCACGCAGAAAATACGTACCTCCCCATACCATCCACAGACTGATGGCATGGTCGAGCGATTGCACAGAACGCTCATCTCCATGCTTTGTCATCAGGTGAGCCAATCGCAGCTTGACTGGGATCTGCAGATCCCCGGTGTCCTGGCCTCTTACAAGATGGCACCTCATGCGGCCACGGGCTACTCTCCTTTTTACCTCCTGTATGGCAGAGAGGTTGACCCACCTGTGGAGGTGCAGTTGCGTGTAAAACCGGTTTCACGCAAGTCTAAATTGCCTGACCACGTTCGTTTTAACCTCCAAAAGTTGTACGAGGCCAGGGAAGCCACGAGGGAAAATTCGGTCGGGCGACAGCGTGCCAACGAACGGTTACGGAACCCTCGTGTGTCCGCTCATGTCTGGAAAGAGAGGGGACAAGGCCTGGCTCCACTGCCCCCAGATGCCATTGGCAACGTCGCCATAATTGCTCCGGCCCTGGGGCCCTGTCGAAATTGTGCAGGTTGTGCGTCCCCAGTGTGTCAAGGTTCAATGGGGCCGCAGATGTTGGTACGTCTATCCGTTGTGCCTGAAACCCTTTGTCGCGCCGCCATCGTCTGTTTCACGCACACATTACAGGGGCCGAGCGCGTGGTGTGTCCGACGAGCCGGGTCGCATGTCCGCGGAACATAACCCTCAGCGCAGCCATGTTGTTACGCCCCCAGATGCCGAGGTAATGAGCCCCCCATGGCCGTCGTCACCGGCCGCTCCCGTCGACATGGGCTCCGCCGCCGACCCGGATGTCGCCCAAGGGGTTCCGGCCTCTTTTGTCCCCCCTGCGAAACCCCCACTACTGTACGACGGCCTTGTGATATGGACCGCTTCAAGGGACACAAGATTTTAATGACCCTTCCCACACTCTCACACGCACCGCGACGCGCACCTACCTTGGTGTCGGTCGGGCTGCCACAGTTGATGGCCCTCCTTACCTGTGACTTGCGTTCGGTCATCGCGCCGTTGTTGTTTTGATTGTGTGTGTCGTTGATGGGGTGCCGCGGCGGAATCTGGCGGATATACCCTCTTTAATTGCATGTGAATGTGTAATTGTACATTTGTACAGGTGGGCTGGGGTATTTATGTCGGGTTGTTCTTGTGTTATTCTTGAGGCGCACGCACTTGTTCTGTTTTTTTTTACTATTTTGCAGAATTGTTGCCAGCCGGGACAGCTGGATGCTACGAAAGGGGGGGGGGGGGTAATGTAGTGGCATGATTGACCATGATCGCCACGACTCATAGCCGACAGTACTAGCTCGTGCCAGTAGGGAGCAGTAGAGAGGCTGGACCGGCTTAATAGTGATGATGGGCTGTTGGCCCTAGGCAATCCCTGGGGGGGAGCATCGTCACCAACGGTCGGGACCCCAGACCCCAGGCAGGGGGCTGGGGGATGAGGTCATTCTCCAGGCCCTTGGAGAAGGTTCTGGAAGGGAGGCGTGGCCAGGGGCGGAGTGACGCGGGATCCTGTATAGAAGCCAGCTCCCCGAGGGGTCCAGCTCAGTCATCGTCCGGCCGAAGAGCCTCACCGGGAGCCCTGAAGAGAAGAGCTCAATGGGCAGAGCCGAGCCCCTGGCTAGAGTCGGCTCGAGCTCGTACCAGTGAGAGCTCCAGCTTATAACAAGTGAAGACTCAAGAGAAGTCTCAAGCCCCAGCAGTGTAGGCGTAGTGATAGCCAGTAAGAGACGAGCCAGCCGGGGGACTCCCTACGTAGAGCATCGGGTGGAAGGGGCCATTACCCCTTGTATTGTAGTTTGTTGGTGTTGTAATAAACGTGTTGCCTCGGAGTAAGCTTCCTCCAGTTTATTACCCACTACACTTGCATGAGTAAGTCTGTTGCAAGTTTATGTGAAGTACAAAAGCAAAAATGTGAGGTTTTTTTTGGGAAGGAAACCATAGTGCCCAGATATCAACAACATTGGCCATGATGATCTCTTGACTTGTGTGTGTGTTGTTGTGTCTTTGTCTTTTGTGTTAAAGGCACATGTTCCACAAGACCTGTGTGGACCCTTGGCTCGTGGACCACAGGACATGTCCCATGTGCAAGCTCAACATCCTCAAGGCTTTAGGCATACTGGTGAGTGTGAGTCCATGTGTGTGCACACAAAGGGGGGAGCGGGAGTGTAGCGGTTATCTCGCTGCGCTACGAACCCAACGACCCAAGTTCGATTCCCCCTCTCGGCCAACACCAGTGACGGTTATCTGAACTGGTCCTGGGCTTCTCCCCGAGGTCGACTCGGCTTCAAATGAGTACCTGATGCGGTGTGTAAACATCGCCACAAGAGAGACAAAGGCGGCCGGGCGTAGGGCCGGCCACCCACTCCCTCGTGTGCCGTGCCGGACTTCATAGGTGGTCGCTAACAGCACTTGCGCCTACAGTCTGTTCAGGCTATACTGTGGATCTTGGTCTTTGTCTTTGCACACAAGGGGCTATATTAGCTATTAAAGGAAGTCTATCGTGTGCATTTCCCAACCATTGTGCCATTAGTAATATTGATATTTTTATTTATTTGTCAATGTCCGCGCTCGTGATGCTGTCGATTTGCCACCGCCCTTCTTCCCACGACAAATGTGGGGCCCCCTACCGGTAGAAGGCTGCCTGTCAAGCTGCGCCTCCGCAAGCGAGCAGCAGCAGCAGCAGGCAGCGTACGTGCTTGTGTGATAACTCCCAAGGACAAAGTAAAATTCATCTGCAGTTGTCATTTCTCCCGCCCTGCCCTGCGATGTGATTAGTGCACCGGGCTTGTCGGGTTATCCTTTGGGAATATTTTAATATTTGTTGTTATTTCATTACTCAGGCCTGAATGGCGACGTAGTTCACCGCCTGTTTGTGGATTGTGCTGCTGGCAGAGCGCTTGATTCACAATTGGAGTTTAAATCCTGGTTGGGGGCAGAGGGAGGGGGGGGAGTGTTGACTTGCTCAATCATCCTTTTTGGGGGGTCAATCAAATAAGTACTGCATCATGACAATAGTGGTATTGCTTTTCAGAGACTGGCCTCTGCCATTGGAATGGGGAATCCACACCTCCTCACTAAGGGCCTCCCTGCGGATATGAGCACACATTCAATGCTCATACTCGCAGAGAGAAACTGTTGAATTAACCACCCTGCGCTCACTCAGACTTAAAATCCTTCAGCGCCATGGTGTTGTACACAGTGAACTTTCCCATCTGGCCCATGCGTCTGCTGCTGCTGCTTTCTGTTTTAATGATTTATTTGCTCCTCTCGCTTTCACATTCATGGCGGTTGTTGGCTGCCATTCCAAAAACGTACTTTTGTCCGTCGATCGATCACCATCCCTTCCAGTAATGTGCCTTTGCCCAAGTTCACTTTTAATTGTTAACATTGAGAGCGGTGTTTCGGATCTCTTGCCATCTCCCCTAATCCACGTGTTTGTGAGTCAAGTGTCGGGGGTAGGGGGAGTGTGGGTTAGAAATTTGGGGGGGGGGGACAGGTCAGTGATTTCGTGTTGCGTTGCTCCGGTGGAAAGAGCTTCTCAAGAGAGCCATTGTCGCACTGAGTGGGAGTCACTTTGCCAAGGCAATAAGACTGATTTTGTTCTGCCGATAATCTTTACCTCCTCGCCTGTTTGCTGTCTCTGTTGACACGCACTGTCTGCAGGAGCCAAGCTCCTGCTGTGCAGATTAGTCATATTTCATGAATTGACCTGGGATTCATGGCTCCAGCTTTCTTCATGCCGTTATCTAAATTGAAATATGCGACTTCTTTGAATCCTCTAAGCCGTCGCTGATAATGACAAGCGAAATTGGAAGCATGTTTGACAGCGTGCAGGCTTTCCTAATTAATATTTAGCCAGCCGTGGTTTTACAACTTAATATCCGAGGCGACTTTTACAAAACAGTCTGCCTACACAATCTGCAATGGAGCGATGGCCCTCTGTGAGGCTTTTGGCAGCAATTTTAGAACAATAAAAACGTCACTTTGCTGCTCTGCAAAATGAAAATTTCAATGAGAAATAGCAATTGGTTTATAAGTTGTTGCATTTTGTTTCGTTAAGAACAAACTAAAAAGTTAACTTGCGTGAAAATGAAGCGGTGTGTTTCTCAGCTGACTGTACCGTCATCACTTGATCCCTTTAAATAGTCAAAACGTCGCCATGCGGATACCAATGTGTAGTGGCCGCTCGTCTCTGTTTTTGGTCCCGAGCCCAGCGGTGGAAATTCCACAATCAATGTCAGGGGCCAGTCTAAAAAAAAACAACCTTTGACTTCCCACCAGCACTGCCGAGTTCACTCTGAAAACAATGGCGGAGCCAGGATTTTCAGGTGGGGGGGGGGGGCAACCCCTCCAGCTATGAAAAATGATAGAGGAGTTGTCAGTAAGTAAGGACTTGTCTCTTGCTTTCTATTAGATGCGTGTGCGGCGATGGCCCAGCCATCGATCAAGGGTCGAATTCGAACCGCGTGTGATCAGCATCGCGCTCGCTAAAGGTGTTTGCCTTCAGGGAAGTCGTGTACTGTATACGCAACTGCGCACAATTCTGTGAGTCACTTATAACTGCTTTGCTGTTACTCATTGCCAATTATGGACTCAGACTATTGTCCTATCATCTCATAGAGTCCCTGGCATGTAATAATATGCTACACAGTGGCAGTGGGGGTCGCAAAATGCCGATTTATTACTAATAAACCCCAATGATCCGATCAAAATTAGGGATTTCAATCGGATCATTGGGGGGGCACGTGCCCCCCCCCACCCCCGCTGGCTCCGCCAGTGTCTAAAACGGTGGTTGACTGATTTAAACCCCTAATCCGGCATTCGATCTGCCAGCTACACTACCTTCAGTGTCACCCAGCTGCATTAATTTAATCGCGCGTGCGCGGGCGGGCCCCCGCAGCCGCGGTAACGCGCGCGAGCGTTCGTTCCCATCGGCGTGGATTCAGAAACATCGTGACCGCGATTGGGGGAGAATGGGGCTGATTAACATTTTGGCAGCATTCGCAGTGGCGTGAAGGAAACGGGTGATGGCTTTGTTTTATTAAATAACCTTGTTGTTATGCTTATTTACGGCAGCTCGTAGGTTTGCGTCTGTGCCCAAGCATCCGTAATGTGTTCAGACTCGTGCGATTAGAAAGCCAAGCAGGTTTGAGCCTGGATTAGTGCCTTGATAATTGACTGCAATGCCTGCCAGGTCGTCGTAGGCGACCGCGGGGCTGTGCTACATTTGCGGGGCGGCAGGATGGCGAGTGCAGCGAAGGCCACTCTTGTACTGTACTTCCGTGCTTCCGTGTCTTTGCTGCCCATCCGGGACTGAACAGCGTGGTGAAGCACCGCAACCCACGGGGGAGGCCCTCATCCAGCAGTGGATTGACAATGGGGCTGTACATGCACATAGGCTTGCATTTTCCACCGAAGAAATGGCCGTGAGTCCCAGGCCCATGGAACATTACGCATCGACCGGCCCACTACACTCTGTTGCGAGATATTACGCTTCATATCAAAGTCAACGGAAACTATTTTATGTTTGAACAGGTAAGGCCCGCTGACCTCTACAGCTCTTTTTCAGAAGTGATCTGGCCACAAATGATATCTCAACGAAGTGGCTCATCACGTGGATATTTATAGTAGGCAAATACTCTGAACGCACGTTGATTCTAAATGTGGAGGGAAAAACCGGAGGACCCGGAGAAAAATCCACACAACTACAGGGAGAACATGCAATCTCCAAATTTACAGGCGTCGGGGTCGGAATCAAACCCACGACCTCTTGTATACCAGGCGAGGTAGTTAACATCTTCCCACTGCGGTGCCCCATATCTCTGCTTAGCATTTCAGAAAGCCACTGAGTGGATCGCTAAACTAGATGTCCTCCTGTAAGCGTCTCCTTTTGTACGAAAAGAAGAAACACACCACCGGGGTTGTTTTCTGTCCAGATGTTTGTGTTCACACTACGTAGACTGCACAGCTGATGCCATTGGCTCAGAAGCTGGTACAAAAACAAATCTCAACACTGCTGTCGCTTTGTGTGCCCATCCCCAGCTTGCTCCGTTTGAAGATGCCTAGTACAGTCATACCTCAGTATACGGCTGCTTTGGAATACGTCGAATTTGGTATACGTCGTGTTTTGACAGGGAAAAAATGTCTTGGGATACGACATCTTTGCTTGGGATACGACGCGCTTGTTAGAACTTGTATGGGTCGGGATGAGTCACCGCGTACCCGCGTAGACCCCGTTCACCACTCCTCCCCTTCCTCACCACCATCCTCGTAGGCTATCAACTCCTCTCAGCAAGGTAAAGTGATGTTACATTTTATTTTTATTTAAATTTATTTATGCATTTATTTTAATTTATGTATGTATTTTAGTAATAAGTAGTGTCTAAATTATTTTATACAACCCCATTAATGTATAATATGCCATAGCAAATATAATTTCTTATACTCTGGATCGAGGTACCACGGTATAGCCAGGTGGGTTGCTGACCCATATATGGATTTTGGAGTTTATCCTCTTGTATCTCCTCGTGTGCATGGGATTCCACTCGGAATATTTATTTATTTCACCATATAGGGCCCTCCTTAAAATAGTCTTGTGACTCCGTTCTGTAAACGTACAGAGCTATTAATGTTACGGCTAATAAGTCCGCTTGTGAGCATAGCACATCGGGAGAAGGTTAGAAGGGATGATGGCTGATGGACAAGATTGGTCTTGGGATGGCTGCCAAATGAGAGGGCATGTCCACAGGCATGCAGCGATGAGATCAGCTCATGCTGGATTGTTGCAGGACCGTGAGTGATGAGAAGGGCATAGGGAGGTCTTCATCCAGCAGTTGGATAGAGAATGGCTAATGACGATTTTTATTTCTTCACTTGTTTACTCACGAAAGCCTCAATGAACTCGTTTGCGGGAGGGTCCTGCCAAGTTTGCTAAGTGTAATCCTAAATGAGTAATCTGCAGGTAATTTTTTTTAGCATTGGGATGTTTGGCCACTTCCCCGTTACATAGTGTGTGTGTGTGTGTTTAGCTATGGGAGAACCCCTAGGAACCCAGAGGAAACCCATGTAGAACAGGGCGAGAGCCTATCAACTTAAAATAGAAAGGTGTCCGAGTCTGGA